TGAATTGTCATTTGAAACTAACAGCAGTGTAAGCGTGCTCATCAGATCAGTTCATTAAATTTTACATTTTAGCTTTTAAAGTCACTTAACAGTAAATGTCTGTCTTCTCCAGAATAGATTATTCATCAATATTAATAAATATCCCCTACCCCATGCTTATCTAATGCCTGGTAGTGTATGATAGCTCAGCCATCAGATGGTAGCATGTGTACTAGTATCCTAGTGAAGTTCTAAAATTTATTTAAAATGGTGGTTATATATTAATAGAAGCTCTCTTTGCTAGTAAACCTCCTGGTCATGGGCCAACTGTCTGGTCTGCTGATGAAAATATATTTTAGTTTTAAACCCCCTTCTCTCTCCCTTTTTCCATGTACTTTTTCATAAAAAAAAAATAGAAAAGGCTATGTAGATGGCAGACTGGAAACTGTTTGATGTAAAAAAAAACAAGAACCATTTTTGTTACTCTTTTTTATCAGGCCCAATTTTAAATAATATTTTATTTTAAAATATTTCTTCACTACTAATAGGTCCTAATACTGTCAGTGGTTTCATCAAGGCCATGCACCAGGCCTATTGACCAGATGTGAGAAATATTTTGACCATCTGCAGGAAATTTCTCCTTTTTAAGAAGTTCAGTTCAGAAGGTTCTGCCTGCCTATGAAAACCAGTTGTCTTCTAGCTGAAAACCTTAATGAAATCCTTTTATCTTTCACCCCAAAAAAGCAACCACAAAATTACTAACCCAAGAAAAATCCTTAGATTTCAAATTTAAAACCCAACAAAGGGCTTCACACTATGAGGGAATGGACTTCCTTGTAGTCAGAGTAATATTGTTAATTCAGATTTTATTGATAATAAGTACAGTCCCAGAAAATATCGATACTCCCCACACAGAAGGGATTGGAATTTCCTGGGGGTGGGATCTGTAAGACCATAAAATTGAAGAAATCTATGAAGCTTAATTGAAATTTCCAGAGGGGTGGGGGGACCTACACATTTTAAATCTTGCTGTTTCTCCTTTGTATGAGAACACGCAATCATGAACAAGTACTTGATATCACTTGTCTTGATTTATAACAATTTTCTCTTTTATGCAACCACACTAACATTACGTACTTAACTTTCCAGTTCCTATGATGATGTGTACTTCCTCAGTGCTGCCATGCATTGTGGACCTGGTACCATCCTAGTGTCGTCAGACATGTTTGCTGACCACATCCATAGCATGGATTTAGTTATGAGAGCCCAGTTTAAGCGATGGCAACAGCACTACCAGTGGAAGATGGAAGGATTTGATCAGGACAAGCCAATATTTGCAGTATGTACTTGTTTTCATTGCTGTAAGTTGTTTTCTTGGAGGTAATAAAAGGGGATCTCCTGTAGGCAGACGTCAATGTTCTCAGAAGTGCCAACATAGAGATTATACCTGCCAATATTAGCGCCTGCAAGTTGAAAACTTGGATCTGGTACATACTCACACCTGCAGACCAATTCTTTTCATGCCGAGCTGAAGATTTGAGCTTTTCCAGCCTTAATTGACACAAAAAAGAAACTTCAAAGGTGGAGAAAGCAAAGATAGCTAAAAGTTTCAAACCCAATTCCAATCAAATTCTGAAATTTTTATGAACTGCAATTTGTTTCCCTCCTTGTAATCCTGAATTTCCAAACATTTTGCACTGTAGAATCTTTCTGTTCAATTCATTTCTCTGTTTAATAACGTTTGGCAATAATCATAATATGTTATAAAGAGAGAAAATCTCTTACTAGATCATCAGGAACTCTGTTCCTTTGAAAATTGTTTTTTTTCCCATTTTTGTTTCAATTATTTTGGGACATTAGTTCTAACACTGAGTACAATAATTATTAAGCTTTGTTAAGTTGTGAACATTATGCTTTACCACTTTTTCAGAATGTGAAAAATTTTGACACTCCTGCTCACGTTCAAACTACAGGAGACACATGGCACTTTCCATCCAGTGACGGCTTAAGGTGGCTCTGTGCCAGAAAGGCAGGAATAGTCAAGAATCCAAAAGAACTGGTGCATTTTTAATTTGATGGAGGTGCAAGCTACTTGTGTGTTTCTACAAGGAGGCTGCAAAATATTGTCAATAAGTAATTAACCTTTTGCAATTAAAAACACCTTGTTTTAGATTGTTGGGGTGATGAGAGGAATGACTTGTTGACTGGCCTCTTACAGTACTTTCTTGAGTTTGATAATTTGCTTTGATTCTCATGGGATGTAACAGGGGTCTTGAATGACTGAAAAACTATGGAGGGGGGGCAGTGTGATGGGGTAAATGTTTTAATATATAATGATGTTAGAGCAACCTGACAAAACGCCTTGGGGTAAGCCTTATGTGGAGTAGCATTACATTTTGTGTGTAGCAACATAATTAGTCACTTCATAACATGGTGGACTTCAAGATGGGCATTTAATTAACATACCGAAAGTGAAAACAAAGCGAACTTCATCTAGTGCAAACTTGTTAAGAAATACAGCATCTTTATTGATCACTGGAATATACATTAAGAAATCGAAATTTAAAACAGCAACAAATTTATTAATAACACTTTCTGACTACCCTTAAACCTAATAAATAATGATTGAGGAGCTGCTGGCAAGACCAATGGAAGTTAGAGTTTAAATAATATTCAAAGGCTAGTCTAACATATTTACAAATGAGCATTCAATTATGAACTGTATAAAGATTTAATTAGTATCTTATATATTAAAAATATTTTTCCTATGACAATGGTAGGACTTGCCTGCAGACCATCAATTCCATCTGACTTCAATAGTCCTTTAAGCCCTCACTTCAACTTAGAGGATTCCTGTTCGAAGTCCTTAATTTCTTCATCAAGAGAATAATTTTGATGATAATCAAGGTAATTTCTTGAATCGATTCCTTATTCTCGCTTATAAGCACAGTCAAGGCCAAACAAGAAACAATAAAACAAGCATTTCCCCTCATACACTGCTAAAGATCTGGTACTCTCATCTTCCAACCCCCCCCCCCCCCCCCCCCC